GGGAAAAGGGGATCCTGGGGGTTGAGCCAATGCAAGGTGATTGGACCTTTAAGGCCCCCCAGTGGTGGCAACACACCCCTTTGGACCCGGCTTCACGTAGACGGCACCGCAGGGCTGACCCACCCAGGGGAAACCGGCAGCCGCCTTTTCCTGTCTCTCCATCTCTTCATCTTTGTCTTTCCGTCTCACTTTCAATCTTTCCTGTTCTCTCCTCTCTTCAATTTACTTCTGTTTTTCCTGGCGGCAAGGTTTAACCTTGTGTGGCTATCCAAACTAGGGCAAATCATATTGGGTTCTAGTCACTGCGTACTGCTGGCGTCGCGCAGACATGTCCGCATGCTCTACAATGTCATCTTGTTGGAATTCGTGGTGGCTGGTAGGCGCCGTTACCGAAAAATCCACATCTTCCCATGGGATCCTCGACCCCTTCTCTAACGGATCGTGCCTCGAAAAGGGTACGCACCGACGCAACTTCACTACTTTGGCCCAAAAACAGAGAAACTTTCCCAAAATACCATGTCCTCCACTGCGAACAATCATCTACAAAAGCTAGAGCAATCTCACCCTTCCTTGTGGCCAAGTGCTTGAGAGAGACCACTGGAACCGGTTATAAGGTCACAAAGATGGCAAGTGGAGATTTGCTTCTCGAATTAAAAGACAAAGAACAGTACAATAAACTCTCGCACCTTGTAGCCTTTGGTAACATCCCCGTCTCTGTGAGCGCACACCGTACCATGAACACAGTGAAGGGCGTGGTATCGGACGAAGATTTGATGACACTGAATGAAGAAGAGCTCCTTGATGGATGGAAGGACCAAGGTGTAATACATGTCCAGCGTATCAAAATGAGACGTAACAACAACGAAATAGCAACAAAGCAATTGATACTCACCTGCAGCTCATCCACATTACCTGAGACTCTCGAAACTGGCTATATAAAACTCCATGTCCAACCCTTCATTCCAAACCCGAGGCGTTGTTTCACATGCCAGCGATTTGGTCATGCATTCCGGAGCTGCCCAGGGCAGCTGGTGTGGGCTAAGTGTGGCACAACGGCCACAGTGCTGATGAATGTAGTCATGACGAGGTCCTCTGTGCTAACTGCGAAGGTAGTCACCCCGCATACTCCAGAGCCTGCCCAGCCTGGAAAAAAAGAAATAATAACTAAAAAGTTAAGGTAATTATCACATTCAGGGAAGCAAGACAACGGATCTCGTCATCATTGGCACTAAAACCACCTTTCGCCGAAGTGATGCAACGAGGGGCGGCACCACAAAGGCCCTTGGCAGTTGCCCGGACTGCGCCTAGCGTGCCGAGGCCAACGCCACAAGCCCCTACGGCGGGAACAGCCAGGGCTGCCCGGCCCACATTCATCCTGTCCACACCAGTGACCTCTACAAGCTCTGGCAGCAGCCAGGGCAATCACGAGGCCAAGGGGGCCTTATCGACCCCCAGCTCGGTGGGGACAAAGACTTCGTCGATCGAGGCGAAGTCTAAGCGATGCACAGATCACTCTGTAGAGCGGGCGTCCAGTGCATCGCAAGAGGCTATGGACACCAGTTTAAGCCAAATAACACAGGAAGCGCCAAAGGAGCGGCGAGCTTCTTTCTACCGCCCCAAAAAAGACAAAACGACAATTACAGGGCCTGACAAAGGTCCTGTAAAATGAGCTAATCTCCGTCTTCTCTGCACACAGAGCTTTTTGCCTTTTTTTCAACTATGGACAAAATCATACAGTGAAACGTAAGGGGAATACTTAAAAATTTAGATGACGTCGAAGAATTTCTGATTAAGTATAACGCGAAAGTACTAAGTGTGCAAGAAACGCACTTAACTCCCGAGCACTAGGACTTCTTACGGCAATATACAATTTTCCGAAAAGACAGGGAGGATGCTGTCGTACAATCTGGAGGTGTGGCCATTATGGCTGATCGAAGTATAGCATGCCAGCATTTGAAGCTCCAATTGGCCCTTGAGGCAGTGGCCATTCAAGCTGTACCTTTTAACAAACTCATTACCATATGTTATGTGTACATACCACCGCACCAACAGCTACACAGACGTGATCTAGAATTATTAATAGATGAACTTCCAGAGCCGTTTCTGGTTCTAGGTGATTTTTATGCACACATTGTCCTGTGTGGCGATGCTCACTGTGACGCGCAAAGACGTCTCATTGAGCAGCTCCTTGTCTCTTCCAGTTTATGTCTTTTAAATATAAAGGAGCCTACGTATGTTTGTCTTGCAAACAACACGTACTCCTCCATATATCTTAGCATTTCATCACCATCCCTTTTACCTGTTTTTAAATGGAACGTTCTTAAAAAGCCCATATGGCAGTGGCCACATCCCAATCATCCTGAGTGCGCCAAACAAAGATCAACTACCCCCACAGGTTCCTCGATGGAAGATTGACTCAGCTGATTGGGAAGGGTATAAAACTCTTACACACATGACATCGACTGAGCTGTCTGCCCTGACCATAGATGGCACTGTCACGTATTTTACAGCTTTTATACTTGATGCCGCACCTAAATGTATTGCCAAAACAAGTGGCATGTCTTTGAAACGGCGAGTCTTATGGTAGAACGACGCATGCAGGAAAGAACGAACCACTCAGAACAAAGCATGGGCGTTGCTTCGCGATTCCCCAACAGCAGAAAACCTGGAAAATTTCAAGCGGGTCAAATCTAAGGCAAGTAGAACGCGTCGACAAGCAAGACGAGAGAGCTGGACAAAGTGTATATCGAATATCAACTCATACACAGATGAGGGAAAAGTGTGGAACAAGATGAAGAAAATTAAGGGCCAACAAACGTATTCCCTTTCACTAGTAAATAGCCTCGGGGAAAGCTCGGAGGATCAAAGCAACTTTCTTGGCACACATTTCGAACACATAGTGAGCTCCTCACACTACTCCGAAACCTTACAGAATTACAAAGCACGAATAGAAAAACAAAAGTTAAAAAGAAAATCCGCAAGAACGGAGACATATAATGAATCATTCTGCTTGGCAGAACAGCGAACAGCACTCAGCTGCTGTAATACATCTACCCCAGGTTCTGACAACGTAATGTACGCGATGCTGAAGGAACTACCCTCCGAAACTAAAAAAACCTTCCTCTCTCTTTATAATCGCATATGGTTTTCAGGTGTGATCCCCTCCTCCTGGAAGGAGGCTGTTATAATTCCAATTTTGAAGCAGGGAAAGGATCCCTCTACTGTATCAAGTTAAAGACCTATAGCGTTAACAAGCTGCCTCTGCAAACTATTTGAAAAAACTATTAATTGCCGCTTACTCCACTACTTAGAAACAAACGAATTGCTCGACCCATACCAGTGCGGGTTTAGAGAGGGCCGATCTACCACCGACCATCTTATACATGTCGAGGCGCACATACGTGAGGCTTTTGTTGATAATCTATTTTTATTATCTGTGTTCCTCGACATGGAGAAGGCCTGCGATACCACGTGGAGGTTTGGAATATTGAGAGACCTTTCACACAAAGGTATACACGGTAATATGTTCAGTGTTATTGAAAGCTATCTGTCTGATCGTACATTCCGTGTTGGAGTGTGCAATGTTCTGTCCCGAACATTTGTACAGGAAACCGGAGTGCCACAGGATGAAGTGCTCAGCTGTACGCTCTTTATTATAAACATGAAATCTCTCCGTCTGTAAATACCACGTAATATCTTTTATTCAACATATGTCGACGATGTGCAGATAGGTTTTCAATCGTGTTCTCTTGGGATCTGTGAGCGACAGGTTCAGCTTGCCCTTAACAAGGTATCCAAATGGGCTGATGAAAACGGGTTCAAACTAAACCCACAGAAAAGTACCTGTGTCCTTTTTTCACGAAAAAGAGGCTTGCACCCTGATCCTGAAGTGGTCGTTAAGGGTGAGTGTCTACGCGTAAACACAGAACTTAAGTTCCTAGGTATAATTTTAGATGTGAAGTTAACTTTTGTACCGCACATAAAACATCGTAAATTAAATGCTTGAAAACAATGAATAACCTAAAGGTGCTGTCACGAACAACGTGGGGCAGCGACAGAAATTGCCTCATGAATCTGTATAGAAGCCTTATACGCCCTCGCCTTGAGTATAGGGCAATAGTCTATCACTCTGCCACGCCAAGCGCTCTCGAAATGTTGGACCCTGTTCATCATCAAGGCATCCGCCTGTCCACAGGCGCCTTTAGAACAAGCCCAGTTGAAAGCCTTTATGTGGAATTGGACGAGTGGTCACTCCATCTGCAGAGAACATATTCTTCCTTCATATATTTCCTTAACGTAAATGCGAACAGTGAGCAACCCGCATATTCCACCATCAACGACCTGTCCAGCTCTCAACTTTTTTGCAATTGACCCGCAAATGCACGCCCTTTCTCGCTGCGTGTGAGAGACCTAGCTGATGAAACAGATGTCCCACTGCTTGAATACCACCTCAGCCCCCCCCCCCCCCGCGCTCGGCGGCTCCCGTCAAGGCAGAGGCAGGTTACAGACTATGACACATCTTTTGTTGCTGCCACAAAGCATGCCTCCTCCATACACATTCGGATGCATTTCTTAGGGCTGCTTCATAAATATGACTGTCCAGAATATTATAATGATGCATCTAAGCCCCATACTGGCGTGTCCTATGCGGTGGTCGGCCCATCCTTCTCGGATGCCGGCATTCTGTCCACCAGCACAAACATTTTTACAGCCGAGGCTTACGCGTTATTCGTAGCCGTTAAACACATCAAAGAATTGAATACGCCAAGGGTAGTTATATACACAGACCCCCTGAGTGTCGTAAAAGCGTTGAAAAATCTGAAAAACACAGAAACTGTAGCATGGCTGAGCCACTCCGACGTCACCGGCCATTTCGTTAAAATCACGTGACCTGTTACGTCACCATTCTTGCCTATATCTGCTTCGTTTCAACCACAATAAAGGTTGTTCATCACCCGACTGCAGGCCCGCTTACATGGTGGCAGCGGTGCCTAGCTGAAATGGCCATGCCGCCAGCGATTTTGCTGTCAACAATCTTGCCGCCGCCAAAGCTGCTGGACACATCGGGCAACACCAGGCTTGCATGGAAAACTTGGAAGAGTAAGTTCACGCTATTTTCCACTGCTACCCAGTTGACAAAACAAGCTAAAAAAGTGCAAGCAGCCACGTTGCTAGTGATTATTGGCGAAGAGGCAAGGAAGGTATACAGTACCTTCAATTTTGAGGCTGAAGAGGGCAAAGATAACGTAGACGTCTCAATTGCCAAGTTTGAAGACTTCTACAAGCTAGAAACGAATTTGACCTATTATGAATTTTTATTTGGGTCCAGAAACCAAAGGGAAGGCGAACCTTTCAATGAGTGGATGATGGAGCTCCGAATGTTAGCCACAAACTCTGAATTTGGGGTAATGGAAGACCGGATGCTGCGCAGTCGTATTATTCTGGGTATTCGTGACAAGAACCTGCAGCAGAAACTGATTGTGGAAAACCCTTCTTACAAGAAGACTATCGATATCTGTCGCACGCAAGAGCAAGGGCAACACCAGTTTCGGGAAATCAGTGAAGCCACGAAGACAGCGCAGGACACGGCAGTTAACGCAGTCGCAAAGAAAGGGGATGCCTGCGTCTGCTGCGGCTATCGCGCACACCACGGCGAAAGATGCCCCGCCACCAGTAGAACATGCAATAAGAGCGGAGGATTTAGCCACTTTGCCCGAGCATGCAAATCGGCAACGCCTTCGTGAACCATTCTTCGCAAGAAGAAAGAACTACGGGAACTATGCGCAGAAGACGATTTTTTTTCTGCAAGAAATAACTATGAGCATGGTCAACATAGACCACTTGAGTGCTACGGTAAACATTGAAGGCCAACCAATGACTTGCAAATTAGACACGGGGGCTAATTGTTGCGTCATTTCAAAGAGGGACGTTGCAAAGCTACCGGATATACCAGAGCAGGCTTGCCGGTTTGCGCTAACAGCATTTTTCGGTCACAAAGCAACCGCCCAAGCAAAAGTGCACCTGCGGCTTTCAGCAAATGAGAGGGTGGTCCACGAAACATTCTACATCATAGAGCAAAGTGTACCAGTGACTCTGAGGGGTTCAACAGCAGAACGCCTTGACTTAATCCGCCTGGTACAGCACATTGATGTCGATCAACTTTACCAGCCAGCCCAACCTTTCGCAGATGTCTTCACAGGACTGGGTGAGCTCAAGGACCACGAGTACGAAATAAAAGTCAAGCCCGGCACCGTGGGTGTCGTCGTACCAGCTCGAAGAGTCCCCGTGGCCCTGGAGGACAAGACTAGAGTGGAACTTCAGCGTATGGAGGATCAGGGCGTCATAACAAAGGTAACTGAGCCTACAGAATGGTCCAGTCATATGGTTACCGTTGTTAAAGGAGACAAAGTTCGAATTTGCCTGGATCCAACATCGCTGAATCAAGCCATACTCCGTGAAAACTATCCCATGCAAACGTTAGAGGACGTCGCTCCTACGCTTGCCGGGTCAAGATTCTTTTCTACGCTTGATGCAGCTTCAGGGTTTTGGCAAATTCGGCTTGGCGAGTCGAGCTCCAAACTTTGCACCATGAGCACTCCATGTGGTCGCTATCAGTTCCTTCGCATGCCATTCGGAATAGCTTCAGCCCCAGAAATATTCCAAGCAGCAATGCACCGCGTTTTGGAAGGCTTGTCCTGTGTGGCGGTTGGGATGGATGACGTATTAGTATGGGGCAGAACTGAAGAAGAGCACGACTGCAGCCTAAAAGTTGTGTTATCGCGGTGTCAACAGCACAACCTGAGACTTAACCCCAAGAAGAGTGTGTTTCTGCAGCCGGAGGTCCGGTATCTGGGACACATACTCACTACAGAAGGCCTACGCCTTGATCCGGAGAGGGTACAAGACCTACTTGAAATACCGGAGCCGAAGAACAAGAAAGAACTGCAAGTATTTCTTGGTACGATGAATTTCGTGCAGCGATTCATTCCCAACATGTCAGAGGTAACCGCTCCGCTTGCAACAGTGTTGCGTAAAGACATTGCATGGGATTGGACGGAGGCGCAGCAAAAGAGTTTTGAGACCTTGCGTCAATCCTTGATGAAAGCACCCGTTTTGGCTTTCTTCAACCCTAAAAAGCCTTTCATTCTCTCGGTTGACGCAAGCCAATTAGGAGTCGGCGCAGTTCTCATGCAAGACAGCCGCCCCATCGCTTTTTCATCCCGGTCGCTCACAGAGGCACAACAAAACTATGCACAAATTGAGAAGGAAATGTTGGCGATAGTGCATGGTTGCACGAAGTTCTATGACTATGTTTTTGGTCAGGCAAAAGTGATTGTAGAGACCGACCAGAGGCCTTTAGTACCAATACTTAACAAGCCGCTGCATCAGTGTCCCCTTCGCTTGCAACGCATGAGGCTGACCTTGCAGCGCTATCCGATGAAACTTATTTATAAGCTAGCCAAAGATCTTTTTCTTGCTGATGTTTTGTCGCGTTTTCCGAGCACAATGAGCATTTGCGATGAAACTGCGCAGTTTTATGTATATGTGCTGGAGTTCGTTTCAGCCTCGGAACCCCGTCTAAAAAGTATTCTCGCAGCAACCAACAACGATACCATTCTCTCCAAGCTGCGGGAATATGCGCTGACCAGTTGGCCTGACAAGAAGCACGAGGCTCTAGAAGCCATCCGCCTATACTGGTCTTATCAGGAGGAGATACGCGCACAAGACGGGCTCCTATTTCGCAGCAACAAGGTGATCATACCAAGCTCGATGAGAGCAGAAATATTGTCTCTTTTGCACGTCGCACACCCCGGAGTCGATAAGATAAAGGCGCGGGCACGAAGCGTCATGTCATGGCCCGGCCTGGCAAGCGACATAGAGCAATTTTGCCGAAATTGCAAAATGTGCCAGAAGCATCAGCCGCGAAACGCAAAGAGGCCGCTTTTGAGCCATGAGGTTCCAAACTTGCCCTGGGAAACTGTAGGAATAGACCTATTCTTTTACGGGGGCCGACAGTTTGCCATTATTGTTGATTTCTATTGCTTCTTTCTTGAACTAAGGGAATTTCGCCATACCTCTGCTAATCAGCTGAAGTCTCGGTGCACAGAACTTTTTTCGGTTCATGGATTACCGCTTAAACTGTGCAGTGATAATGGGCCGCCATTTAACAGCACAGAATTCAAAGACTTTTCATGTGGGCTCGGCATTACCCACGTAACGTCAAGCCCATGTCATCCACGCTCAAATGGTATGACAGAGAGGGCCGTACAAGAAGCAAAAAAGCTATTAAAGAAGTGCTCTCTTAGAACGCCTGATTTCCACATGGCTCTGCTTGAATGGCGTAATACACCGCGAGATTCTGTTTTGAAATCCCCTGTGCTCAGATTGATGGAAAGGCAGACGAGGACCCTGCTGCCCGTACCCTCAAGCCACCTGGTGCCGGAAACTGTGCCCAGCCGAGCCGTCCATATCCGTCTCCAGGAAATCCGCCAACGCCAGAGGATCTACTACAATCGCCGCTCCAGGCACCTGTCACCTCTCTCACCTGGCCAGAGGGTGACTACATACGATACCCATGAAAAGACCTGGACACCTGCGGTCGTTCTAAGGCCAGCTGAGACGCCGCGCTCCGTGGTGGTGAAAACGGAAGAGGGCCGAGAAATTAGGCACACACACGAGCATCTGCGAGACGCACCTACACATCCCGAAGAGAAACCTCGTGACGGGTCGGAACTACTAGACGACTCCCAGCCCGCTCAAGAGCTACGGAGAAGCACAAGGCCACGCCGGGAGCCTTGCCCCTACCCACAACCAGAAAGACCAGTGTAATTATTTGCTTCCCTAAGAAAGGGAGATGTAGCATGGCTGAGTCACTACGACGTCACCGGCCATTACGGTAAAATCACAAGACCTGTTACGTCACCATTCTTGCCTATATCTACTTCGTTTCAACCACAATAAAGGTTGTTCATCACCCGACTGCGGGCCCGCTTACAGAAACCATATAATTCTATTCGTCTATTCAATACTCTGCGAGGCCTATATGCTTTCAAGCTACATATCGTCGTGTGCTGGGTGCCAGGACACCACGAGATCGAAGGAAATCTGTTGGCTGACCAGTTCCCCACGTCAATCAACGGAAGCACTGCCAACTCTTCAGTTGCTGAACCTATAATGGACTTAAAACTAAACATACGGAAAAAGCTCAGGGCGTACTGGCAGAAGTTATGGGATCTACAAAATCATAACAAGTTACACTTGATGAAACCATACCTCGGTAACTGGTCACCCACGTCAAAAACGCGCTGTACAGAGGTCAGTCTCTGTCGGCTTAGAATAGAACACACACACAGCACGCACACACACCTTTTGTTCGGTGGTGACCCACCCAGCTGTCACAGATGTGGCCGTCCACTTACCGTACTCCACATACTCCTTGAATGCTCTGAGCTAGAGGCTTACAGGAAAAAACATTTTCCACTAGCGTACAAGGAACACATACCCCTTCATCCAGCTATGTTTATTGGTCGCGAACCTCTTTTTAAATATAATGCATTGAATGCATTCCTAAAGAAAGTAACTACTTTCCATGTTACTACTCAAGTCATCGGTATCACGGCATCTGAAAGGAGTCTGCTGCTGTGGATGCTACATCCAAAGAGAGCACCTCTCTCGCGGCCCTTGGGACCAAGGGCGCTGGCGAGGTATCGGTGCTAATATAACACTCTCATTCTGTGGTCTCATGATAACTTAAGACTCATTCTCACCAGTTGTGCTTCACTTTACTTTCATGATTTTAATAAATATATGTCATGCACCTTTAGAGCGCAGAATCTAAGGCCCTTTTAAAGCCATTTAACATAACCATTGCTGCGATCCGATATCATTTCCTGGCGCTCTTTGGCCATCAATGGCCCTTGCGCCATTAAACAACATATATCATCATCGTATTGTTTGCTGCTCTCTTGCTTTTGCTTTACCCGCTCACGTAAACGCCGGAGTTTCGAGTTAGGGTCATAAAGAAGGTTACCGACGAATATCCGAAGACATCCAACCAAGTTCTTGGCAGCCGCCCGTGTTGCAGAAGAGCTGGAGCCCTTGCCATTGTAGCATGAGGTGTACATCGGTAAACAAGAAGGTACTCTGTTACCGCCTGGCGCAAGGATCGCTACTCAAGAACCGCCACTGGAATGAAGCTTTTTAATACTCTGTTAAAGCATTCCACTTGGCCGTTTGCTTGTAGATAGTATACTGACGAATGTTTGACCTGGATGCCGCGATCTTGAAGAAATGCCTCCAACTTCCGAGATGCAAACTGTGGACCGTTATCGCAAATAACCTCTTCTGAGTAGCCTTCGTGCACAAACACAGAGACTAAAAAGCGTATTACTGTGTTAGTTGTCGTCTTTCTACAGACATGCACTGCGGGCCATTTGGAATAATACTCTACAAGCGTGATTGCATTTTTGTAATCGTAGGGCACCCACTCAAATGGGCCTACAATATCCATGCCTAGTTTGAGCCACGGCTGTTCTGGAAAGGGGACTGGTTGCAAGTGTGTAGCTCGCACCTTGACACTATTGTCTGTCTCCTGGCATATGCTACGCATCTGGATAGCTAGCTCGACTTGGCGGTCCATGCTCGGCCACCGATACTTTTCTCGCAGCCGCGCTTTTGTTCGCACCACTCCGGGATGCGACTCATGTGCTGCAGTGACTACCTGCAGAGTGAGTGATGTGGGAATCGCAGGCCGTTCGCCACGCAAGATCAGATTGTCTACCGCAGAAAGTTTGTCACGTACTTGAAGAATGGCTGAAGCTCGGCCGATACTAATTTGTGTGCAGGCCATGACGATTGCACATAGATTTTGCTTTGTTGCAGTGCGCTATCTTCGAATTGGGACTGCTCAAACTGTTCTGTGGTAATGCAGGAAGGAATTTCGAGAACTCATACAACCTCGTCAAACAGCGTTTCTTCTTCCTGGAAAGACGATGCGGGAAGGCGTGAGAGTGCGTCCGCAACTTGGTTTTGCGACCCTTTGCGGTACTCGACGGTATAGTTGTACGGTAGTAGGCGCTCTGTCCATCGCGCTACCCGCAAGGGGCGCCTTTCTGTTCCTTGGGTTGAAAGCAATGCCACCAAGGCTTGATGATCAGGGAGCAACGTGAAGTGGCATCCCCACAAGTACACGTGCCGCCGCTCGCACGCCCAAACACAGGCCGACGCTTTACGTTCTCCTACCGACTATTTCCTCTCAGCTGGCGAAAAAACTCGAGACGGGAAAGCGACAGTGTGCAGTTTATGCCCGTCCACCTACTGTAGAACCGCTCCGACTCTACACTATGATGCGTACGTCGACACTAAGACTGGAAGAGATTCATCGAACATTCTCAGTATAGAGCTAGATGCCAGCGCGTCTTTGGTCTTTCTGAAACTAGCGTCTATCTCGTCAGACCAAACGAATCGCTGCCCATTTCTTAGAAGGACACGCATTGGTTCAACCATGTCAGCAAAATTGGGAATAAACCTAGAATAATATTCGACCAATTCCAGAAATGATCGAAGGCTGGCTGGATTCGTAGGTGCTGGAGTGTCTCAGATGGAAGCAACCTTTTCCTTCAACGGCACAATACCGTTTGCGGTGAGCTTATGGCCCAAGAACGCAAGATCCGGCGTATCGATGACGCATTTCGTGTTCAATTTGAGTCCTGCCTCTTTTATGCACCTCAGCAATGCGGTAAGATTAGCCATGTGCTCCTCTTTGCCCTTCCTAAACACAATAATGTCATTGATATAGCACATGACGCCACTGCAGCCCTGTAGAGTTTTCGACATCATACTGTAAAAAGCAGACGGTGCCGACGCGAGCCCAAAACACAAGCGCTTAAAACGAAAGAGGTCGTCGTGTGTTATAAAAGCCGTTAAATCGCGGCTCTCGGGGTGAAGCATGACCTGATGGTAAGCTGATGCAAGATCAAGCTTGGAAAAGTGGGTTGCCTCCCTAAACTATGCAATAGCTCTTCTGTATGAGGGAGGGGAAAGCTATCTGCTACGACGAATTTGTTTACTTGTCGAAGATCTACAAAAAAACGGATACCTCCATCTTTTTTTTTCAACCACAACAATGGGGGACACACACTCGGATGCCTCTATTCGCTCTATCACGTCCATTTTTTTCAAGCGGCGCAGTTCTTCCGTATAGCGGCGCAGTTCTTCCGAAAATAGCACCAAAACTCTTTGACTAATTCTGATGGAAGGTGAATGGACTCCTCCGCCTCTGTCATGACTGCGGTGTGCTACGTTCGAGCGCTAGTACGCACTGCTGTCGTTTCAAGGCACTGTAGTGACGACCCATCAATCTGCAGAGTGAGTGCCCTAATTGCATCAATACCCAAAAACGAGGTGCCTTGTTCAACGACATAAAAAAGAAGCTTTGTTGTGCAGTTATTGTACGTGACATCAGCAAAGGAGTAACCGCACACTGGAAGGGGCTTCTTCGAATAGTTCAGTAGTCTAATTCGAGCCACTGAAAGCTGATGACCTTCAAAATGCTGCCCAAATAGGTCATGCGTCAAAATCGATACTGATGACTCTACATCCACGAGGAAAGTTAACTTCGTTTCACCAACGGCTACCGATATGTAGATTGCGGGACGAGTGGATGTCGTCACGGCAAGAATGCTCAATACTTCTTCAGTTATCGAACTTTCGTCGTCTAGTTCACGAACAGCAGTGACGTTCTTGTTTCAGACCGAGAGAAAATGACCTATAATACCGTAACCATGACACCGCTTGTTCTTGGCGGGGCAGCGGAATGAAGCTGCGTTGTGCCGAGATGAACCGCAGCGGTAACACTGGCCCTGTTGGCTGCGCGACCGCTTCGAGGGGTCGCCGGAAGAAGATGCGGGCGGAGGAGTGTTCCCGCGAGCATTTTCGCTCTCGACATCTGCGGTAGCAAATTCTTTGCAATCATTGATTGCCTGCTCAAACTGTGTCACTATTAGTACAGCTCGAGCGAACGAAAGAGAAGACCCTTCATGCAGCAACCGCTCGCGCAAGTTCCGAGATAATATGCCGGCAACGAACAGGTCACGCAAGAAATCTTCCTGAGAAGGAAGAGAGCACGTAGCAGAAAGCTCACGTAATGCGGTAATGTACTCATTTATTGCTTTACCGACTTGCAGCACGCGCCTAACGAACCGGTGCCATTCGACCACAACATTGGTTGTTGTCGTGAAGTGCGCATGCGGCGCTGCGACAGCGGTATCGTACGACGACGCTTCATGCCTTGTCTGAGAAGTGTCCTTGACAGCTCCCGAATCCGTATCAGTAGTTGGCTCACTGGACTTTGCGTTGGACGAAGATTGAAGCGGTAGTGTGTGAATTATGCGTTGACCTTCCGAGGCTGTGGATTAGGAGAGGCTTGCGATGGTCCGGCGCACAGTCCTAAACACCAGATGCAAGCAGAAAATTATCGAAGATGCGGATTCATTGCGGCCAGGCAACAGCAAGGCGGCCAGGCGTGGTCAGGAGCGGGGGTGGTGGTGCCAGTCTGGAAACACTGATGGCGCGAGAAACAGTCAGCGAAAATGACGAAAATGCCACCCCCTCGTAAAGGAGCACCCTCGTCGCCAATGTAGAGGTGGCATGTGCCGCCGATGAATGAACGACTAGACAACTTGAGTGACCATCGCAACAAAAGCCCCTTTATTCCAACTTGCGCATGCTTATATACATTAACAACGCTGGCGCCGCCTGCGGCAGTGATCGCGGAACCGAAACTAAATAGACAAATATACAAGTTCTTTCCTTATGGCAAATTTTATCGT